CATTCATACATCCAGTTATTCACTCATCCATCATTTACCTGCACATTCATTCAAGGTTGAATTGGAGTTTCTGCAGATCTGGCATATCTTACACAGGTTGTGTGAGTTAGATCGCTTTCACTTGAATGTGATTTTCAGGTGGCAAGAATTTTTCATGGCCTGTAAGCTTTTGAGAATGTGGGAATGGGCACCCTGGCACAGTTGGTTGTACAATTAGAAAGGACAGTGGAATTCCAGCAGATTTTCTCCAACTAAGTTACGTGCATACAGTTTTGTTCTAGAATATCCCACAAACTCGAATAGTATGGAGGCCATGCACCCATGACCTTTGTGCTTAAAAAACAAAACTCATCAATAATGATTGACCTCAACAAAGTTCAAGGGTTAGGGATGCCTGGGTAGTCAGAGGCCAGAAATAATTGAAATGGTAAACCTGGCTTCTTTTTTGCTTGCTTATTTAAACGTAAATTTATTTTTATTTTTTATTCTCTCACCCAGTACATCCTGACCACAGCCTCCCCTTCGTACAGCCGTACAGCCTGACTTCTTTTGAACAAGCTAACACTTCACAAAACAAAAGTTTATTCTGTAATAAGGTGAAGTCAATGTCATACATTTTAGTGATGCTTAATATGTGCAGGCTAGTGACCCTATAGTCCCTCAAAATATGTGCAGGCTAGTGACCCTGTAGTTCCCCAAAATATGCTAACGGCTTTTCTCTTAATGATGTTGTCTCTTTGAAACACTGTGTGTGTGTGTGTGTGTGTGTGTGTGTGTGTGTGTGTGTGTACATAAGGAGGGGACATACATACATATACATGCTCCTGGGGTATGTAGCATGCACATGTGTGCACACATGAGGAAGTCAGGGGTTAGTATCAGATATTCTCCTCCTTTTTCCTGTTTTGAGACAAGGCCTTGCACTGAACCTAGAACTTCCTGTTCGTCTGGACTGGCTGACCAACAAGTCCAAGGGATCCTATCTTCAGCCTGGGACTACAGGCATGCAACATGTCTCAAGGATTTTACTTGGTTGCCAGGGATCAAAACTTGGGTCTTCATGCTTGCACGACAAGTACTTTCCCCAGTAAGCCATCTCCCTAACTTGCAAATACTTTAGAGGTTTATTGTGGATTGAGTGGTTTTAACTGATAAACAAATTGTCCCCAATAAGTAACTGTCAACTGACACTTTTCGTTGAGTTGAGTGATAATGCATTTGTATAAACTGACTTCTTGTTTTTGTATTTAGTTTTAAAACTGTCTGCTGACTTTCGGTATGTTTCTTTTTCTTAAAAAAAGATATATTTATTATGCATGCAGTGTTCTGCATGTATGTCTGTACCCCAGAAAAGGGCACCAGATCTCATTATAGATGGTTGTGAGTCACCATGTGGTTACTGGGGATTGAACTCAGGAACCCTGGAAGAGGAAGCAGTGCTTTTAACCTCTAAGTTATCTCTCCAGTTCCCCTTTCAATAGGTTTCTAACCATAGAGGCAGTTCTTATCAGTTGGCTCAGATGATTTAACTAATAACTTCATAACATTTTGGAAGGCCTGTTCAGCTGATTTTCTCATTTTCTCCCATTGATACAGAAAACAGCTAACTTTCTTGGAATGTGTTGGCTACTTTTCTGCTGCCGTGATAAAATCCCATCACCAAGGCATCCTAAGGAAGGAAGGGTTTATTTGGACTTATAGTTCCGAGGCATAAGAGTCCTTTGTCGTGGTGAGGCATGGCAGCAAGTGGCAGTTGTGGCAGCAGGAACCAGAAGCTGCGAGCTCACACCTGCCAACTTAATCATGCAGCCAAGAGGGCAGGCTGGATGGGACAGAGGCTACAAGCTCTCAAACCCCACCACTTCTACGTCTTCCAGCAACGCCACATCTCCTAACCCTCACCAAACAGCACCACCAACTGGGGGTGTTCAGCTATCTGAGCCGGTGGTGGACATTCAATCACTCCATGTGGTCTCTCCCATTCCCAACACTGTGATTCTGTTTCAAAGAGGTGCTAATTCAGGTTGGAATGAATTAAACAAGAAAAGAGTACCTACCCAGTGTTTAGGACAGAAGGTGCATTCTCCATTCAGGTGGGTAGATATAGTATGCCACAGCACTAAAATATGGAGTGGTAACTCCAGCTAAGAATTCAAGAAGTTTTTATTGATCATTAAGCATAACAGACACAAAGAGAATACACAGTCTGTTACTGCAATTTCCATTCAAACAGAGAGGCTTAAACCCAACTGACCACTGAGTAGAAACCAGAGAGGCATAATCTGGAATGAGCATTTGTATCAAGACTATGATTTTGAGAGTGTTAGCTTAAACTCAGATTTTGTTTCTTTGTATCTAAAATTGTACAATAATACCAAACTTATATTGTAAATAAAAAGGCACACATATTTTTTGCAATGCTGGGAATGGAAGCTAGGCCCTCAGACATGCTACACAAGTGCTCTACCAATGAGCTATACACTCTAGCCCTATATGAAAAAAGTCAATATGCAGTAGAGACCTATCAAAAGTTTCTATCATAATACTACATGTAATAGGCATTAAGCATACATACATGTTTGCTGCATAAATACAAATACAGCATTTACTTTATGCATGTGCCATACATACATACTGTATGACATGTAAGTATTGACGTCAAGAAGTAGCATATGATGGGGTTTTAAAGGAGAAATAATACATGATTCTGGTAATGTGACAAGTGTCTGGTATTTTATGAGATGGGACTTGGAAATCAGACCTCTAAAGATGAAGGTGAAGGGATGAGGAGTAAGGAGATGCTTGAGCTATGAGGAAAGGGGTGTCCGTGTGGGAAATGTGTGTACTGCCCAGGCACCTGATGCTTACAACCACAATGTGCTGACAAAAACAGACTCAAGTTAGTTTATATCTCACCATCCTGTTGAAATGGACAGAGTGGGAATGACAGGAAGGGATGATCATCAAGGAGTCCATTGAGGATGACCATCAAGGAGAACCTTCAAGGATGACCAAGGAGTTCATCAAGGATGACTATCAAGGATGACCAAGGAGTTCATCAAGGATGACCATTAAGAATGACCTTGGAGTCCATCAAGGGATGACTATCAAGGATGACCAAGGAGTCCATCAAGGATGACTACCAAGGTTGACCATCAAGGATAACCATGAAGGAGTGGAATATTAGATTCACACAGATGTTCAAGTCTTAAATGTCAGGATCTGTGAATATGTTACATCATTTGGTGAAAGGGGCCTTGCAAGTGTGATTAACTTAAATATCTTGAGACAGGAAAATTATCTTGGGTTACCTGGGTGAGACTAGTCTGGTGAATGACCTTATAAAAGTAAAAGAGGGAGACGTGGTCCTTGATATCAGAGAGAGATTTGAAAAGTGCTGTTTTCCTCCTCTAAAGGTGGAGGGAAGGGCCCTAAGTTAAGGATGTAGGGACTGCCTGCCTTTAGAAACTGGAAAAAACTTTTTATATTATAAACCTGTCTCACTTTTGACTCCTCACTCCAAACCTTACAAGTTCTTCGTTACCAACATCTCATTTTCTCCTGACCCAAACAGAGGCAAAATAAATACCTCCTCCGCCTTCTCTTCTAGTACAGCCAAAGCTATGTGGGGATTTTCAAATGCAAACTTGATGAAATCTCACAGAATCTAAAAGTGCATGGAGGACTACTTCATACCCGACATTAAAAGTGATGGTGTAGACCGATCTGCGGGTAAAAAGAGAGGTTTATTTTAGATCAAACTTCCAAGACCATCTCTGGGGCATGGGGTGGGAGAAGGCATGGAGAGAAGAACAAAATGGCAGAAAAGCAGCAGATTTTATATGACAGAAAGCAGGTAGGGATCTGAGCTGACACAGGCTGTCCTTATTGACTAGGATCTAGGTGCCCTAACCCAATGTAGTTGACCTTTAGGGGAAAGTTAACCCCCAAAGGATGATGGGTGGTTCCTGGTAAACAGGAGACTAGGTCTCCTCTTAGGAGAGCTGCTACTCTGGTAAACAGAAGCCTGCTTTTAGGCCTCTTTACCCAATGAAAATCCTTCTGCTTACCCGGGCAAAACCGTTCAGTTTAGGATAATGTCACCAGTACTGCCATTTGGTGGTGATGGCTGGGGTGCTTTGGGCCCACCACACATGACTTTATATGCCATTATATATCAAATGTGGGACAGAATGATAGGACACGATCTATATTTAACACCAGGGCCAAAGATTATTTTGGGAGTCTTATGGTATTCTAGCCCCTTGCCCACCCAGTTGAAAGGCACATCTAATGCGAACATGATCCAGGTTAAGGGATACTCTGAGTGGAGTGTACAAGTAGGAGCAAGTGGAATGTACGAGTAAGATCAATGATGGAGTGAACAAGTATGATGTAAAAGCAGGAGCAATGGTGAGGACAGCCCATTTACCCCAGAACGAAAGAAGCTTCTTTTTTACGTGGGCGTTGATGGCAAGCTTTCTATTATTGCAACAAATATCAGGAAATCAACTTAAAAGGAAAAGAGGTCTATTTTGGCCCCCAGCTTTTCAAGCTGTATACACTGTGGTTTGTTAGCCTTGCTACTTTGAGAACTTCTGCAAAGGCAGAACATGACCATGTAGAGTTTAGGGCATATGAAAGCTACTAACATCTGTGGCTACAAAAGAGAAAGGCGCTTGTGTCCCCAATCTCCTTCAAGGACACAATGACCAAAAGACCTTCTGCCGGTCCCCACATCTTAAAGATCCCACCATCTCCTAACAGTGCCCTATTCTGGGTCTTTGAGGGGGACACAAGTTCCAGCAATCTGCCTGTCTCTACCCCTTCAAGTATGCTTACAAGCATGCACCTCCATGGCTGGCTTTCTTTGTCTCGTCTCTTCTTTTCTTTCTTCTCTCCTTCCTTTCTTCCTTCTTCCTCCTTCTCTCCCTCCTTCCCTTCCTCCCTTTCTTTCCTTTACACAGGGTTTCTCTGTGTAGTTCGGACTGTCCTGGAACTCACTCTGTAGACCAGCCTAGGCCCAAACTCAGAGATCTGCCTGCCTCTGTGTTGGGATTAAAGGTATGCACCACACTTGCCCAGCTGGCCCATGACTTCTTTTCTAATGTATGTATTGGGAATTGAATTAAGGACTTAAGTAAGCACATTAGTAATGAATGAAACAATGGTTTTAAAACATGGCAGAAGACATGCTCATAGTTGCTTGGAATGCTGGGTACCAGCAAACTCATTAGGCACCAGACAATCTTTCTAACCTACTGGGAAGACAGTAGAGGAAAAGGTAGAAAGATAAGACGTCATTAAGGAAGTCAGTCATGTTCACAGAAGACTGTGAACTGTTATGATTTTTCTGTGAGTAAGTTAAGGATTCATTTATGATCCAAACTAAGGCCAAATGTATATTCTTATGGCTGTAAAGGTGGTTCCAAGAACAGAGGACAAAGTCAGGTGTCTTTCATGATGTGCACACTAAAGGAGTTTTCAAGGAGAAAGCTAAAAACAGCACGTCTCAAGACGCAGCAGGGGACTGCCAACTTTCTTCAGAACTGAAACTAGAAAACCAGAAGTAAGCAACTCGGCTTCCAGCAAATGTTGACTTTGCACAACAAAATATGGGGTGTGCCAGTGTGTCTGGCTACTTGTGAATAATGACACAAGGCAGATGACATGCCATGACTAACCGGGGTCTTCTTCCATCCTAAGCACTTTAGAATAGAGCAAGCTGTCAGTGTGGAAGGAAGATGAAGACAATGACATGAAGCTACTAAAAATGTGACTTGGATTTCACATACTTCACATTTTATCCTCTGTGTAGGATTGGGAAAGGAAGAACGGGGTTGAGCTGAGTCATGCCTCTCTTTCCAAAGTTGGACACTACATTAAAGAGGTAGGTATTTCTTTTTATTACTATTAATTTAATCCCAGTTCCCCCTCCCTTCTCTCCTCCCGCCCCCCCGTCCCCACCCCCACTTCCCATCTGCTCCATGGAGGGAAGTAGACTTCCCTAGGAAGTCTACTAAGTCTGTCCCATCATCTCGTTGAAGTAGGACCGAGGCAAGAGGTAGGTATTTCTGTGCTTGGGTTTGTCCCTTAGTAATGAAGAGGATCTAAAGTTAATTCTGTGCTGGTGAGATACTGTGTGGTGCCTAGCTCAGATTGGCAGGAGGGAATGCCGTCAGTAAAGACTTAAGGGGCAGTCGCCCTGTTGGGAGCCCTGGTTCAGCCAATCGCTACAGTGGCTTCATGCAAATAATCAGCCACTTCCAGCAACAGAATTTCATTGGATCTTAGGCTGGCTTCAAACTTGGAGTGCAGCTGAGGATGGCCTTGAACTTCTGACTCTCTGCCTCCACCTCCTGAGTGCTGGGATTACACTACATATAAGACTCTGCCAAACATTTTATTGCTTCTTTTACTCACCACAATATCCTTACAAATAGAGTACTATTATTACTTCATTTTAAAGAAACAGAGGCAAAGAGAAATTAAGGCAGAAAGAACTGTACAAATAATAGGACAATTTGTTCTTGAGGGATGTTGTTGTGTCCAATCCAAGCTGGGCTTGCTGGCTGTGTGCACCTTAGGCAAGTGACTAAGGTACCCCTTGCTGTACCCCAGATCTCAACACACAAGGAAGATACTGACGGACGGCAGCTATTGTGTAAGTCAGGAAAATGGCAGGTGTCCTGTCTGCGAAGGACATCAGCTGCTCGCTGTGAAATGACCAAGGAAGGAGGAGAGGCTGGGCCTCGGGACACTGGGGTGAGCCTGCTGTGTGCAGCACACAGTGGTGTCTGGAGGCGGTGTTTGTGACTATGCGTGTGCTCACTGGCCTCCTCTGCACCACCAAGGTTGTGTGTTCCTCTTTTGGTTCCCCCTTGGGGCGAGGGTGGGACTGAATTCAAAACAGAGGGTGTCATGCCTTTCCGATCTCTCTGAAAGCAGATCAAGAACACCAGCTATGGTATTCTAGAGGGCTGGGATATACTCACATCAATAGACCCCTGCATGCAGATGAGGGTGCCATCTGTGGCATGAGGCACATGTAGTAGAAATATATTACTTAGACTCTGTTTGGAGAGTCTATTTGCTTGCTGGAATGCTGAATCCTAGAGCTTAAACCAAGTTCTGTTATAACGCTTTGTGGATTTTGAAATCAAGTTTTATTAACACAGCAAAGCCCTGAATAGGACTACAAGACCCACGGAAGTGATGAAAAGATGAAGAATCCGCCAATCCCAAGGCAGTAACGAACTAGTGGGGGGTACTTATGCTGATCTTCAAGACTGTAATTGTCCAACCACTAAAGACTCACAGGAGAAAGCTGCTAATAAAATCCAGTTACCTGGCTTTGGATGGGACAGCGAGTCCAGCGATTTCCACTGGTATTCCTTCCTTGAAGGGGGAAGGAGAGAGAGGCTCAGGAGACTCCAGAAGTAAACAAATCTCTCAAGCCCCAGAAAAGCTGAAACCAACACAGTGCACAAGGACACAGAAGCAGTGAAGAACGGCTGGGTGTTGGTAGGGAGAGAAGGCAACAGGGCATGGAGGAGCCCTTCTGACTCATCCAGCTTTGGCAGAGGGCTCCAGGGATGCAGCTTTGTGGAGTCATCACCTATGCTGTGGGCTTCTCCGTGATGAAGCTCCTTAGGGTCAGCCCTGCTCCTGGGGACAACCTCCCATCCGTATTCCTGTGGGCAACCAACTCCAATAAGCTGGTTGAAGCCAAGTTTGACTTTGCTGGCATTTTTCTTTTGTCTCTCACTGGTATTTTGTCCTTTCTAGAGTGAGTAGGCATTTGTGTCGCATGTCCACAGGAAAATATTCATACAACAGACAAAAAGAAATGTATTTGTGCTTCTCCTTCTTAAAGCTTCTCCTTTTGCTTTGAATGAGGGGTGTCTAAGCTGTCTGCTTTGATGCCTTGATTTCTTCTCCCTTCCTTCCTCCCTCCCTCCCTCCCTTCTTTTCTTTCTTTCTTGACATACTCTCATACAACCTCAGCAGGCTTCACACTTAGTATATAACTAAAGATGACCTAGAATTTCTGCGCCTTCTGTCTCTATCTCCTGAGTGCTGAGTTTACAGGGAACCACCTTTTGTGGCATGCTGGGATTGAATCCAACACTTCATGAGCCCCAGACCAGAACTCTACCAACGGAACTACATTCCCTGCTCAGCCAGTTCAAAGGCTCTTTATTTTTAAGGGCTTCATAAATGCTGTCATGCATGTAGGGCCCTGGATACTAGAGACTTCTCCCAGAACCAACCCTCAGGAGGTGGGTGGTGGAGAAACTTTACCAATTCAACAAGCTGAGAAATAAAAGTCTTAGGCTTGGCAGCCCCAAAGGCTGATAAACTGCATGAGAGAGAGAAAGAGAGAGAGAGAGAGAGAGATCTGTGATTGGGAAAGGATACCTCACTTCTCTTTCAACACTGTTGCTCCTCCCCCTCCCCCGCCTCATCTCACCTGTTCTCTGAGTCTCGTCTTCCACCCAATTATTCATTTGGTTTGGTCATAGTAACCGATCTTCGAAAGAGTCCAGCGGTCTTGGGACTAAAACAACGTTGCCTGGCGGGTTTTCACGGATTTTCCTCAGGGATATTTGATCTGAGTATCTCCCAAGTAACTTGAGCAGTTGGAGATGTGGCATTGGATGCTTCAGATCTGACCACAGCTAGGTCTTAGTTGAGATCACCATGGCAATGGTCTTTGAAATCTTGAAAGGCCTCTGTTTAACTTCCAGTAGTGCAGTCAAGCAAGGCACAGCCTAAGGGATGGAGCACCTGCCGGTGCCTGCTCCTTCTGAAGACAGCTGTGTTTCCATTGTAAAAATATGTGAGCCCAAGTTACAAAGGAGCTGATAAGGGCAGTCAAACAAGACATAGAAGAAAAATTAAAGAATAACTGTTACCCAACAAATTAAACCATAAATAACACAATCATTAATGCTTTCCTAAAAAAATCCTGAACATTGTATAAACACACAAAATAATACAAAATTTATAAAATAAGATCTGATTATCCCCTAATGATAAGAACTGCACGTATTTATATGAGCATTAGAGATTGCTCTCTCTATAGATGTATGCTTAATAGATAAATGATTATAGATTGATGGATGGATGGATAGATAGGCAAGTAGATGATAGAAAGATAGATAGATAGACAGACAGACAGACAGACAGACAGATAGACAGTTAGATAGGTAGATAGACAGGTAGATAGGTAGGTAGATATGTAGGTAGATATATAAAGAGATAGACAATAAAATGAGTACTGCTGCCAAAAGCTAGTTTCTTTTTAGTATGTAGACATGAATATCCTGGGAAAGGTTGGAATCACAGTCTCAAAATGCCACCACCAGGCCTCCTTATTATCCTCTCTGACACAGATAGAAAGGACTGGAGACTCGAGAGGAAGAGGTGGAGCAGCAGAGGTGTCTTTCCCCTCCCAGGGTCGTGGTTCGCTATGTGTATGTATTGCTCTCCCATGATGCTCTGCTCCTTCTCATACCCTTCCCTCTGTGCCCAACTGGCTGAAAGGACCCGAGGAAGTCAAATTCTGTACCAAGGGCTCAGCATTTGCAGAAACTCTACGAGCTTTGGCATCAGGCAACTGACATCCAGGCCTTGGAAACACAGACTGTCATGAACGTCATGCTGAGAAAATCAAACTGGGGCACACTCCTCAGCCCATCTAATCTCCTGAAGGCCGGCTGCTTGGCACTCAGAGGGCCAAGAGGATCCACCCACTCTTCATATGAAAGGCAGGGACAAATAGGGAAGGAAGGAAAGAAAATGAATCTCATGGGAGTTGAGAGCAAAATGGTAGCTACCTACCTAGTGTGAAGAAAGACCAGGCAGGTGGTAAGGACAGGGACAGGTGGGTCAGTGGGTACTAGTTAGATAGGAGTAAACGCTGGACACTGTCTCACAGTAGAATGACCACAGATAATGATAAAGTGCTGTGCATTTAAAAAAATCTAGGAGAGTCTTGAGCTATTTCTAGCAGAAGGGAGTAAAATGCATAGTAGGAGAGAGATACGTTTAATCTGACTTAATCATTGCACAATGTATGTGTATCTCCAAGCATCACATGGTACCACACTAATGGGCATTGCTATTATGCACAAGCTAAAGAGAGAAACTTAATTTATAAAAAATGCAGAAGAAAAATTCAAGAGAGAAGAGCTATCTGGAGGAAACACGGCAAAAGCAAAGAGGAATTTGATACTTCAGAGGGTCTCTTTATGCACCCTAATATGATCTCCAACTTTATCTCCAGGCCATGTCCTTATTTTCCTTCATAGCACCTTGACCTGCTAGTTACCAGCATTTTTTTTTCTTGGACTTTCTCTTCTGTGCTAAGAGTTGCTATATCATTTACTGGGCTCCAGCTATGTTGGGTAAATACCAGAGACAGAGCAAGCTAAGGGGAAAGTGTTTAATTTGGCTCATAGTTCAGAAGGATGCGGTTTGTCATGGTGGAGAGGGCGCAGTGACAGTGGTCTGAGGGACGGAGATGGTAAATTAGCTTGGCAATCTTCAGCCCACAGCATGGAGCTTCCAAATTAGAATGAGCCTTCTCTCTTTAGTTAAATCTCTCTGGAAATGTCTTCAGAGGCATGCCTGGAGGCATGCCTTCCAGCTGAATTCAAATCCAGTTACCTTTTTTTTTTTCCTTTTGGCTTTTTGAGGCAGGATTTCTCTGTCCTAAAACTCTCTCTGGACCCAGACTGTCTCCCAAGCACTGGGACTAAAGGTGTGCCCCACCCAACCTGGCTTAAATCCAGTTATCTTGACGGCCAGTAAGAACTATCATGATAAGCAAATGTTTAGTTTTCATACTTGAATGTCTTGAGTCACTGTGGTGACGATGTGATAACAAGTCAGATAAACCAATGTTCAAGGCCAGCGTGGAAGACTAAGCCAACAAGGGTCAGTCATCTTTCTTTTATCGGGATGGAAAATGCCCAAATTGGTCCAGCTTTATGCTGGAGCTGCAGGGTGTGGTGTTGGTTTGGGGCTGGAAAATAAGGACTGGCCCTTTGGTCAGCGGAACAACTCTGCTAGTTCAAAGGCCAACACAGAGCACGGCAGGCAGGTTTCTGCTCATTTTCATCGGCCACCAAAAAGAGGAAGTGAAAACTCAGTTCCTGGTCCCCATGTTTCCCAGGCTCCTACTTCCTTTCTCTCTACACTAAAAACAGGAGTCTGTGTTTTTGCTTTGTTTTCCTCCCAAAAAGGTGTTTTGTGTCAGTCAGGAGCCAAAATGGCACTTTGGGATCACGTCCTCCTAAGTGTTTAGCTGATTTCCAGCCCCAGCCTTTGTGACACTGGACGGGTAGCATCACTTTGCCCCTTTGATAAAAGAAAGTTCCTATTCATGTGTGCTCTGTTGCACTCGCAATTGTGGTACTTGGGAAACTGAGATAGTATGATTGCAGGTTTGGGGTAGCCTGAGCTACATAGCAAGACCCCTCATTTCAACAAACCAGCAAAAGAACAGACTTATTGTCTGTGGGATGGGTATATTATTTGCTCTGTTGGTGTGATGTTTAAATGGTAAACTAGGGGCAATAGTAACTTAAGGACTAGATGCATTAAATCTTCATTTATATTGTGATAAAAGTATAACATATGTTTAAAACGGCCTTACTTTACAGTTAATTTTGAATCACAAGAAAATTCCCTCTTTTGGTTTTCCTTATGCTTTTTTATTTTATTTGACATATAAATTATAAATAAAAACCTGTCTTCAGGGACATTATATTATACGTTGATGCACTTGTTCATCCACACTGTGAAACAATTTACCATAATTAAGTTAACCAACATATTCAGCACCTCACAGTGTTTTTAATTTCCATTCACAATAGTTTTTTTTTTGCTTTCATTCTCTCTCCCATCAAAGCTAAACATGCTTAACTTCAAGCTGCAAGGAGACCCAGCATGCTCAGTGTGCTTCACTTCTGAGATGCAAGGAGACCCAGCATGCTCGGGTTCCATGACTACAGCATCACTCAGGTAAACAGTGCATCCTGGTTGGCTGCAGTCAGTATGCTGCCCATTAGGTCTTAGAGCCTAGGGACTGGGACTTGCTTATTTGGGAGGTTATTATTCAGCCTACCCTAGCAAGTGTCCCTCTTGGTGGATGTGGAAGCCAAGAGTTCATGCTAGACACTTAGAATAGCAGTAATTATATGCATATACAAAGCAATTTGACGCCAGACACTGTGTCTGTGTGTGAATGTGTGTTACAGCTTTTGTCTGAAACCTTTCTCATTCACTCCTGAACTTCAGCGCTTGGTCCCTCAGCTGGCCAGCACTGCCTTGGGACACTGTGGGACCAACTGGATACAGAAGCAGAAAAGTGTCACCATGGGTGGGTTTTGAAGGTTATATCTGCATTTGGTTCCTGTGGGAGCTCTCAGCTTCCACATTCATCAAGATGCCAGGGGTCCTCACATTCCCCTCCTACAGTCAAGACCACACCAGCAGGCCATGATGGACCTCTCAAACTGTGAGCCAGAAAACTTTTCCTCCTTTATTTCTCCGTCAGGCATCTAGTCTAGTGACATCAAAAGCAACCAGTACAGTGTGTGCATGTGTGTGTGCGTATGTATGTGTGTGTGTGTGCGTATGTATGTGTGTGTGTGCATTCATGCAAGTGTGTGCATGCATGAGTGTGTGTATGTGTCGTTGCTTCTCAGTGAGAATTTTTGACTCATTTCTAGTTAAAAAGGCAAGAAACACTGTCTCATCTGTTTTGGTTCAATTTCTTACTTGCGAGAGAATTTGGTTCTTTTATTAACTGCTCTGAAGAATTATTACAAAAGCAGTTGCAAGAGAAAGAAGGCCATGGTGTTGCCAAAGTCATTGAAATTTCAGCTGAAGCTCACAACTATGTTTAATTCTCAGGAAGCTGTAGGCACCCTGAATTATTGTTGATGCAATTATTGAATACTTTGTGATCGAATCAAACCTGTATTTACCAAACAAGTTAGATGGACACGGTCTCGGTGAAGCATGGAGTTGATGACTAAGAATTTAAAGAGCCAGACTAGAAAACAATGGCGGCTTAGGATGACAGTGTGGGAAGAGAGGCTTCTGGGAACTGGGAGGACTCCAAGCCTTGCTTGACTGGAGGCTTGGGTGGTGGGGACTTTGATGCATTACCTGGTATTCTGAGTACAGCGGGGTTAGATTCCTAAGGACACTCTTGAGTCTCACTACACCTCATTCCTAGAGACTTACTGTCATCAGAAAGTCTTGTTGACAGTGGTAAGGATGAAAACTTACTGTCAAGACTATTCTAAATAATCTTGCTTTCTTAGTCATCACATGCATAAGAGTTATGATCCGAAACAAACTTTTTAAAGTGAATTTTTGAATTCAAATGAAGAAAGAATCGAAGGTCCTTTCCTTAGTGCTTTCATATCAGAACTGGGCTGCTGTATTTTACTTCTCGGCTGATCTCAATCTTCATTCTTTAGTAAATACCTAACAAGCATCAGCCACATACCAGCCTCAGACATAAGGACATGGTGGTGATAACCCGATTCACAATCCTGCCTTCGCGGGGTTCGAAGCTAGTGGGGGGGGGCTGTCCAAGGGGTGAGGGATCTGAAGAGATGGTGTGTTGGAATGAACAGTGTACATGACCACTGAGCACACAGCCAGTGGGCTGATCCTAAAGACAGGCCAAGAGGGCCTGTGGGGAGGCACGTGCTTTGGAAGATGGGTGATGTTAAGGCAGGGGAAGGGCAAGGCATCCAGATAAGTGTGGGAGAGCATCCTAGGAACAGTGAGAAGCACCACAATGCACTTGAATGTCCTTGAGGATACACTGAGTAAGCCTGCAGGGCAGGAGGGAGAAAGGCCAGGGTCAGGCTTGAGAACTGAGCAGGAGCCATCTCTAGGGCCCTGCTGGTGTTACTAGGAATGTGCACTTTTCTCTGGTCTCTGGGGACCACTGAGGCGTTTCAGGGAAAACTGGTGTCTTGCAAGGACTTGCAGCCAGGATGATTTCAGGCATCAAAGTGCTCAGAGTTTTTCTGTAGGAGCTAAAAAGGAAGGGGCGGGGTCTGGTGATGCCCTGGGGACTGTGTAGTGGAGACTGGGATTAGGAACAGGTTTCTAGACATCCCATTTCCTGATGGGAATGCTGGAGTCACCTTTTCTCCAGCTGCATCCCACCGGTGTCTCTGAGAGGGAAACGTGTGTGGTTTAGGTATCCTTTCAATGCTAAGCTGGGCCACAGCTCAGAAGAGCGGGCCCGGGGCTAGGGGTATAGCTCAGTGGGTGGTGTGCTTGCCTAGCAGGTTAGAAGCTTGGGTGAGATCCTCAGCATAGTGTAAACTGTCTGGATGGCCTGTAACCACAGTACTTGGAAGGCAGCTGTAAAAAGGATCCAAAGTCCAAGGTCGTCATTCTTGTCTACATAGTAAGTTCTAGGTCAGCTGGGGACTCATGAGATCCTGTTTTATAATATACATATAATATTTATATATAACATATATTACTACATGTATTTTATAGAGAACAGAGCCTTCTTCACAGTGAGGATGGGATGGACATCCATGGTTAAATGTCAACCACAGTGATGGCAAGGTATGGGTGAGAGGCCAGGGGCTGGATGCTGGACTGTTAAAACCAAACTGTATACTGGGGGCGGCTGGGGACTGTGCATTTTGGGAAGTCCCATGGGCGATTCTCATGCACATCATTTAAGAATTCGTATGATAGGCATCAAGTACAGAGGCCAGGAGCGGAGCCTTCCAGATGTGCAGTGTCATAAGGAAATAAAGTTTTCAGGACTTGGCAACTGATTGGATGTAGCCCAGAAGGCCAAGAGAGGTTTCATAGGCCCAAGTGTTTGTAATCTGGCCCTAAGATTTCCTGAAAAGATAAAGCCACTCCTCTCAAATCAGGGCACGGCCAGCTGAGCAAAGCTGGTTGTGGGCCAGCATTAGCTCCTCTGCAAGGTGACAGTTCGTGTGGCCTGCCTGGCGTGGGCATTGGAGGTTTCAGCTGCACAGGTGTGGTGAGCAGCTAGGATTGGGGGCTTCAGTTATGGTTGTAGAACTGCACCTGCCGTGTTAGAGCACAGAGTCAGGAATGGGGACGGGCCCTGCTCAAGGGCAAGGGCAGAGCTGAGGGAAATACTGAGAAGGAAGACGATGGGCAGGGAACAGAATCCTCTGTTCCAGAGTAAATGGTTGGTAGATGTTTGCTGTGACACTAAATGGTCAGGGTGGTGACATCAAACAACCCTCTAGAAAGAAAGCAACCAGCAAGAAGAATAAATGCCGCCCCAGCCAGTCCTTTTCCTGACAGCCCAAAGGATGTTTCTGTTAGATTTGAGAAAGATGTGACAGGTCCAAGAGAACGGTGGAGTGTTAGTGATGCATGCCTTCAGGCCCAGAACTTAGGAGGCAGAGGCAGGCAGATGTCCACGCTTGAGGTCAACTTAATATACAGAGTAAGTTCCAGGACAGCCAAGGCTGAACACACACACACACACACACACACACACACACACACACACACAGTACGACAGCTAGTGTGATTCTCTGGAGGAGGCTAAACCTTGTCTTGGGACTCCATACTGTTTTTTTTCCCCTAGAAGTCCCTCTCTGCCCGAGTACTTAATAAATGCACTAATTTCACTTCCTTCTGTCCTTCCGTCTCTCCATCCCTTCCTCCCAATCTTTCTCCCTTCTTCCCTACCTTGAATTGTAGTACAATATACATAATATAATTATTTGTGGGGAGGGTGCGGGCAGTTTGAGACAGGGTTTCATTTCCATAGTGATTGTTTTCATATCCATCATACTATGTGCTCTGTCCAAAAGGCTTTTGCCTAATTCACTTTCTATCCTAACTTGCATTTCCAAAACTGTCTCTGTGCAGCCTTGGTTATCCTGGGACTCACTCTGTAGACCAAGCTGGCTTCAAACTGCCTCACAAGTGCTGGGATTAAAGGCATGCACCACCACCTGGCCCAAAATATAATCGCAACAAACTATACATAATAGAAATGTGCCCTACTAGGGTCCATACAGTTCTGTGCTATTCAGTAGAATCTCATCGTTTTGTGACCACTACTACCACACACCTACAGAACTTTTCCATCTCCCCAAACTGAAGGTATGCACCATTTAGAGTTAATGTTCTTGGAAACAGTGTGAGAGTCAGAGGCAGTGACTGACTATAAGGAAACAGTGTTTTCTAAACACAACAGGGCAGTTCTCACGTGAACTCACAGGGCTTGTGACAGTGTGCACGAGACCCGTGTGAGCCCAAGCTAGACCACATCTCAGTGACATGAAGTCCTGTGCCTGTCCAAGGAGCTCTTTGTAATTGTTAGATGCTGGGAGGGGGTGAGTTAGTTTTCTTCGAGCGCACTGCCTCTGATTGGCTAACACACTCCAGCCAGTGGCCACAAACCCAAGAGAATACAAGCAGCACTAATGGGCAAACCAAGGACACAAAGTTGCGTGGGTTCAGTGGGTTTAGAATGGGGAGGATCTGAGAGGACATGGGGGGAGGATGAAATATTAAAGACATGTGTTATCTACTTTCCAGAGATGGACGATGGCTTCCTCCTACTTCTTGGCCATTGTGAGCATATATCAGCCCTGGTTAAAGTCCCTGAATCTTAACCCACTCCACAAATTGTCACAACCGCAGTGCTGAGACAGAGGGAGCCTTGAGACTTCTCTTGTAACAGAGCACCAGGGACACTGCCTTTTGTGTCTACAGAGCATCTGCTGCAGGGTTCTTTCTGGCTCAAGGGTCAATCTTTGTTCTCTTCAGGCCTCCACCTGATTGGATGAATCACCCATATTGTGGTCTACCAGTGGAGACAGAGGAAATAGGTGATGTCACTTTATTTTTAAATGAGGAAGACTCAGCATAGGATAAATTAACAAAAGAGCTTTCTGTCGACTGGTTCTTAGAAATGTTTCTTTTCAATGGCCAAGGTCAATAGCGAGAGGCACCATGGTGGGCCCAGCTGTGGA